GCTTGATGTAGTGAATCTCGCTGTTAGAGATATTAGTGCTGATGAAACGCCGCACGGAAAAATGTGTCTTTAACTCATAAATTTTAGAAAAATGGATAAAAAGTTATTTAAAATTTTTGCTATAAAGCACATGCTTTAAGGGGTATTATTTTTGCACCAGTTTATCAGCTGACCTCTTTTACCCTGTCTGATATTCCGAATGTATGCACCGTATACAGAAGGAGTATGAACAAGCAGTTGCAAATCCAGCGATTGGCACATGCTGCAATAAATGCGCATAACATTCATCCTCAAAATAACGCCAATATCATGATATCTAGGTGGTATAATTTTACGATTTCACGTCCCCTAACCCTCATCCCTGATTGGGACTGGCAACGATGAGGTAAATTAACTCAGTTTGAAACTAGACGGGTAATTCTGAAAGCTGTAAATCCTATGTGCAGCTACTGCTCCAATATTATATTATGTTCTGATCATATTCTCTGTTTGTTATTGCAGGCCAACTCCTATAATAAATATGCGCATATTTTCAGTTAATGTCTGTAAGGTATGTAATTTGTCTACATATTCGTGCTAAAGTATTTTTGCTTAATTTTCAATCAGTCACTTTTAATGACTAATCATTCTTTCCGGTAGCGGAGTCAAACGCGACAAGAAAGTCTCCAGCGTTTGACTTTCGGCAGAAAATAACCTGAGTCTGGATCAGTCTATCGTGACTCTTTCCCAGGTCATTCTTGGCCATCTCAGGGTCTTCGGGAAGTTGATTTGACAAGTTGCAGCCTTTGAATTGTTTTGAACTATTTTATGATGAGATGCTGTTCATTTTAAGGAATATCGTAGAAGCAAACTTCCAAACTATTATCGTGAATATTCTTACCGCAGTTTTGCTTACATTTAAGTAATTGCAATCATTGCCATCGGCTCATTTACTATTAATACCTAAGCATCGTTCGTTCAAAATGGAATCTGCTTGTCAGCCCTTGCAAAGTCGGAATGTGCTTGTACATTCATTACTCTGGCATATAATATGACATACTAACGGTTTGGTGCTGTTGTTACACGGTGGAAAATTTTTGCCTTAACTTTTGAACGAGCTTAAAGTTTGCCGTCCACAAAATTAGGTGTTCGTTGTATGCTCCTTATGAAGCACATTTTAAGCGGTTTAATTGTGGATAACGCAGACGTTCTTTTCTTTGACTCATTTGACGAATGTTCTTGGTTTGCTCTCTGATAAAGATTTTTTGTTTATGAATGCACTACCTTCCGTTAATAAAGTTGGGCTTATCATTCCCGTGTGAGGGCAGTTTTCAGCACCAACGAATGGGTTTGGACTTTCTGCTTGTCACAGTCTTTAATTAGCTATCTAGTTGAACAACTTGAATTGCATTCTAAGGGGCACTGACATTAGAATTGCGGGCGTGTGGGCCGTCTTCCCCCACCACTATTTTGATATGACCGCACCAGAACACCACGCTTTCCTTATTGTTCTCACATCGACGGCTTTCTACCGAATGATTGCGCCGAAGAAACGTAGGGCAAATATCTTGCTCAAGGAACTTAGCAGGTACAAGAAAATTTCGTTCTTTTTCGATATTTGAAAGTATGACTGAACTTCGAAACTGCCCATTATTCTTTATACTAGTTGTCGCAATAAGGTGTGTATAATTTCTTGATCCTCTAGTTCCTCATGGAATCCAGTACCTGCTGAGTCAAAAGCCTTCTCGAAATCGATGAACTTCAGGTATTGAGGAAACATATTCATTGCTGTATTACTTGTACGACGAAGAGAGTCAATCGTATTAATTTCACTTCTGAATCCTGCTTATTCCTTTGGCTGTGCAGAATCCGGTTGTTCTTGCCGTCTGTTGGTCAGTAGTTTGATGAATACCTTTTTGGTCACTGGCGTGCAATTCTTAAGATTCCCACTCTGTCCCGTTTTGTGGAGTAGAATCACCGATGTGATAGTCCATTCGTTTGGAATTTTCAGTTCCTTTAAACAGCTTGAAAACAAACGCGCTGACTTAGTCAGTGGACCATCTCCTGACTGAAGGGTTTTGCTTTAACGCCTTCTTCTTCCTTACTCTCTTTGTCTGTTTTATTGCATTTTGCACTTCTTCCCCAAGATATCTAGAATTTCAACCATTTCTTTTTTTTCTACGGTTCCTTCTCGTCATCTGTTGCGTTTCAGTTTCATCTTTGTACAGTTCTCTTATAGAAATCTGCTAGTATGTTCAGGATCTCGTATGTGTCCTTCATGTCAGTCGCGTCTTCTTTTTAGATGGTTAAAACTTGTCATTTCTCAACTACCGTTCTCTGATTTAAAATTTTTTTCTTGTTTCGATTGTTTTCAATAGTTACCTTTACCAGTCTACGGTATATCTTCTTTCATCCGTTACTTTAACGTTTACTTATATTGTGAAATGTGTTTTACCTAAATACTATTCCGTGCTGGTAGCAAATTTAAGCGAATAATCTTATTCGTTCGTGTTTTTTTCATTTTCGACGATTCTGGTCCTCTTAATAATCAACTTAATCGTTTTCACCGTGATTATCGTTATCTCCATCGATATCTCTGTCATTATTCTTACTTTTATCATTATTATCGTCATCATTCAGGTCATAATTGAAGACCAGTGCCTTTCGCTAACTTATGGTCTGACATCATGCGATCCACGCTTTGAATAGAGGATAAATGGATTAACGTAACGCGGCTGGCATCTTTTGGATTTTTTTTCTGGGTACTCTTTTCGGCCGCTGTGATAGCCATGGAAGCCTATTATGAAAGTCGAAGTGCCTCACGGCGTCAAATTATGATGGCGATGGTGATCACGTTGTTAAATGTTACGTTGATCTTTCATTGCAGCGAATAGGGCGAATAACCTTCTAATTTGATGCTTGTAGACATCACTGCCGTTAAGAGACTATCTAAAAAGCCATTGAGCATGCTCTATGCCAATTTTGGAATATCGCGATCTTAGGGGAAATCACTCATTCGAAATGATTTGTGGTGGTCAACATGATGGTCAGTTAAAGTAATCTGTCCGCCAAATATCCAGAAAGGGTAGTTACTGGAATTCCATATATTAGAAATGCGAAAGTTTTATGTCCTCTTTCTCTAGAGTCTATAGTCATAGCTTTAAACTTATACAACTGAACAACAAGTGTAGCAGGTAATTCCGGTAAATAAACTTTAGTTCCCTTGTCGCTTAACTCGCAAGAACAAGTTAGTTGTGTTTTTATAACGACCATTTCGCGAAACCTTTGCGTTCACGCATGATGTTAAAAGCTTAAAGTAATCTATTTGATGGCTTTTAGGAATGGGTACGAATTACTTCGTAACTGCACAAAAAACCACCGCCGTTACCAGCGCGTCGGTGGGCAACTTTACAGATCCCGATGACCTAAACCTGATCTTGGTGCGTAATTCGCGTTTCGAGATCTTTTGCGTTTCGCCCGAAGGCCTCAAACCGTTCAAAGAGGTGAACATCAACGGTCGCATATCGGTGATGAAGCTTTTCAGACCAAAAGGTATGCATACGTGCGTTGATGATTTAGTAATGGTTATTAAATAAGTAAGCTACGCATTGCTACAGTATTATCGTACTACATCCTGTGAAAATTATTCGTTCTTTCAATGAATCTTGTACAAATACTCATTCGTATGTAAATGACTAGATTAGTGAATAAATGAGTAGATGAATGAATGGTTTAAGTTCTGCGGAATAAATACGATCAGAAATCTGGGCATCTTGTTTATTCGCCTTTTATTCATGCTTGTTCGACTTCAAGAGCATTGCATCAACAAATCATCCACTCTAGCGATGACGGCGATCAACTGTTACATAATCGGTAGGCTTGTTCGAGCAAGCTGTTTAATTTATATATCCAGTTGTTTGGCTTGAGCACGAACCGTCAGAAAGGCGACTTTGGGATTTTGTTGCGCATGTGTATACTCAGTTACAAGGCACTATGCCGGGATGCCTTCTGTTGCTAGTTTCTTCACTGGATAGACAAAGGATCTGTGATGGCCAATATGTCTGTAATGAAAGATAACCAGGTGAGTTCGTTAGCTGCTATGGTCGTGATGAGAGGATCAGAAACTAGTAAACGTGTTTATGATTATGGTGATTATGAAATCGTGAACGATCATTATATTATTAATCTGAGCAATGTTCGGTCAGGTGCTGTGTATTCGGACATCTTCAGGAAGATATTTTGAAAAGCAGCTCCCTCACAATTTGCCATTTTATTGTGTTACAGTTGCGCGCGTTATCTTTCAGAAATAAAACTTCACTGCTGCGATATTGCATAAAATGGATTAAGAATGCAATGAAGGATTTTAGAACGGTTTCACTTCTGCAGCATACGTTTGTGAGGTTATTCCTTATTGCCCATAACCTATATTCGTTGTTAGCAACAGTGGTATAGCTCGCGTTTTCCTGGATTAGTCAAAATTTTCTCTCCAGTCATCACGTTTTGGCCATTCAAGTGATCCGGATATGTTTGAGGTCGTCATTTCATGGCGTTATTTGTAGAACACGAAACTTTTTTGCACCTAGTCTACAATTCCGTTCACTGTTCAGAAGGTAAGTGATATGATTAAGTCATTTTGTCGTACTTTGGAAATTAATAGCTACGGTATCCCATAATGGCATTGTAACAGTAGTAACATTCTTCATTGGTCATCGCTAATCTCTCATGCTCGATGAAACTATTGTTCATAGTCGTTTATTAAAAGATTTTTCAATTCGGACTGCGGTTAATCAATCGGATACATTGATTATTAAGGTATCCGATGTGAAACTGGTACTGTAAAGTATTACTTAGCGACACCGGTAACATCATCATAAATAAATACAATAAAACGCGACAGACTGCAGAATCCATGTTGTGGCGAAGGCCACTGTTAGCTCAGGTTTCATTTACAGCAGGTTTTAGTCCCGGTATAGAAGTAATGTTTGAACTATAAGATTTCTGACTGCACATTAACTTTGATTTGTGTCAAAAGTTGAGTAGTATTCGCTGAACATTCTATTCTCTAGGAACTCTTCCATCCCACTTCGTTTTGCGGAATATATGGTAAACAGCTTAGCTTGGGCGATATGGTAACTCATTGACAAACTCTGGATTAAAAACCTGGATTTCAGCTACATCTTCAAGCAATCGAATCTTCATCCTGCGACTTTGCTACACTTTTTGTAAAATTTGGACGTAATCTTCTATTCCTTGCTCGTTCAACTCTCCGAAAACTGCATCATGCTCCACCATATAAATTGCAATTTAATAGTCGACAAACGTCATGTAGATGGGCAATCTGTACTCGTGACATATATCCAGTAGCTGGATTTTATGCTTGGAGGTCGTCAGACTTCACTTTCGAACAGTTTGGCTAAATGCAGCCTCTCCAACATCGTCGGCTGTTGTTTGTTCAGTTTCTTTGCTTAAACAATTTAACAGAGCAACATCGACACTCTTCGTGAGGATTTCCAGTCGCTTGGCGTTTAACTTTGCTGGAGATACCTGGTAAATAGTTTTGCCATGGTAATGTTTAACTTGACTTTAAGACAGTAAGTTTATTTACGTATGTTAAGCAAGTACGCTTTAAAGCAGTGTTTATCCAAAATCGCAAGACTTTCGAACTTGAAACGATATCTTTTTTCAAAGTATAAATATTATTATTGTGCGCTGTAATATTATTGATTGAAAAGGTAAGTGGTAGTTTTAATACTGCTATTATTATATAATAAAAAACGAAAACCTTTTTTGGTTCATGATGCTGCGTCTCCTTTAACAAAGTAGCGTTCAGTCAAATTTATTAGCGTCTTTTGTCGTTTTGTACTTAAACAGTTTAATTGTTTTGCTGCGTGACTTTTTTGTACAACTGCGTATTTCGTAGGCGAAACGAAAGACCTGATGTTCATTCTGACCGCCAAGTATAACGCGGCGATTCTGGAGTACAAAAACGACGAGATTATTACCAGAGCCCATGGAAACGTGTCTGACAGAATAGGAAGGGCTTCAGAAACGGGTTTCATCGTCATCATTGACCCTACTTGTCGAGTAATCGGTCTCCGCCTTTACGATGGCCTGTTCAAGGTGCTGTTTTAAATTTTGATTTCCGTTTTCGCTGCTGATCGATGACTTGAAAGCCAACGTTTTTAATGTAGTGTACTGTCTTAACTGTGTGGATGTAATTGGCCATGAGAGAGTTGAACAATAATATCCAGCCGAAGATAACCACGGGAACCCATATTCTTGCCACTGGAGCCTTAGAACAATTTATTGATGGCCTTTAAGGCATAGTCTAGTAAGGGGCGGGGCGTAGAATGTAATATGCAGGTTGACCAGCCCGAAACAGTCCTTTGATTGCTTCCAACGATGAATTGGTGTTCTTATAAAAATGCAGTTCCGCAAAATACAGTAATATAATGAACTTGAAGGGACCAGTTTCTCGAATATTTCATGACGGTTTCGTTATGGAAAGAAATCCATTCGATTCGACTTAAATGTTTATCAAAAGTAAGATAAATATATGTAGCTCCTTTCTGAAATCAACGAAACAAGTTTGTTAGGTAGAGTCTGTCCAAGAACGCATAGGTAGTGAAGTATAGTAAAACTGACCTGTTGAACGATCCATGAGGGGCAGAATGGAAACGAATTATAATTTTCTTCCGTCCCTATTCCCTGCCGTTTAATCTTCATTTTGCATCGAAGCCAACACTGCTATATGCAGATCAACCGTGTCGTTGGTTCTTCGTTCAAGTGTTCACTTCGTCAGTAAAAATAATGCATTGCAAGGGCTATAATATATGAATTCATGGCGTGTTCTTTAATGGAAGATGGATCACAGAAGGGCAATACAGTTACGCAGTGTACACCGGTGGGTTGCAATTCTGTTTGTTAAAATGTTATTATCTGCTTTTTAATAAATTATACTGATAAACTGATATATTAAATGTTCTTTAGATTCAAAATTCAAACTACTTTCATCTAAGTTGCAAGGCATTAGTAAGTAAATTAAATTTGAAGAAATTTTAAGCTATGGAGTACGTCTGAAGATAACTTATTCTAACTTCACTCGTAGAAGAACATACGGAGGGAATTACCGGGTTTTGGTTATATACGCCTTTCCGGAATAATAATGCCACAGAACTTTGCTCAGTGATCGATATCGAAAGGAAGACCGATGCATAATTACAAAGATACGCCAGACATAGCCGATTATGTGATTCGTACAGTGAGCATCGTACGTGGTCTATTAAAACGTTCTGAAAATATGCATGCTGCCATGTGGTTTCTGAGCATGAAATGACATTCTTTTGTGTAAATTAGTACATCAGGTATATTGTAAGTACTTGATGCATATTTATTACGTATTTTAGGCTGTGTCTGGTTCATCATGGTACAACTTCTTTTATGCGGGGCGTTTAGTCGATGATTTTCAGGTTTTCTACTGGGTAGCTCCGCATATTAACTTTATTGCGCAGGTTACTCACTTCTTGATTTGTTAATACTAAGCTGGAGCTGAGCCTGAAGGCGAGGGGGTCTTTAATCAAGTCGATTTTTATTCCCATGTTAACCTGTAGTCAAAAGTAATTGGTCATCACTGTGAAATTGTGATCCTGGCTATAAGCGGTTGAAATGTCCGAATATTTTGATTTACCTCATCTCTACATAATCCAGAGTTCGGATATCTGATTGAACGTTGATTCGCAGTTGCTGCTTCTCTGGATTGAAAGTCTCAGCTTCGATAATTTGGACACGTCTTTCGAATGCTTTCAGAAAAAAAAGGTTAAATAACTACTACTTATCACAACTACTTCCGGCAAAAGATGCCGGAAAAGGTCTATAATGACCTGTGGCAAGTGCCTCGACGAACTCTGCTCAAAACTCTGGTTACTTATTGCTGAAACTCACACGTAGGTACAGGATCAGCAACGTTGGAACACTGTGTGACGCTGTTGCCTCCGCGATCCAGTACTTGAAGCGGGCATCAGAACTGACTGACTGACGTTGCCGACGTTTTTATTTTATCTAATTCATAGAAGCGTACTTTGACGAAGACATTTTACTAAACTGGAGATCGATAAGGTTTGTGATAAAATCCAAGAAGAAAGTTTATAATCATTGGAATGTCGGTCTGTCTTCCCTTACATTGTTTTTTGTGACACTTTTCATGAAACTTATGGTGCGGTGATGCTCTTCGTTTCCATTTCATCAGCCAATAAAGCCTTATTTTTTACAGGTAACGTCTCCAGCTATATGACAAGTATAGCATGTTACCTTCCGTTTCCTTACCATGCAGCACTATTTGCTTATCTACTTCGAAGAATAAGCGGCGAGTGCCTCTGATTTAGGCTTGAACCCTCCTGGTTTTTCTAATATCAGTCTGACGCTTTACCGACTATGCAGTCTTTGGTCAAAAAAATAAAACGATAGAAAGTTAAGTAATAAGTTGTTAATTGTAATGTGTTGTAAATACACGAATTGTGTCATGATGTCGTTGTTTGTCTGAATGTTTACATGCATACAGATTCATATTTGGAAAAAAATCTGATTCAGTAGTCATGTGATTACGTGCACAAATAACCCGAAAGCTCGTCGCAAGGATGAGGGCTAATAATTGGTGGGTGCGAAAATGTTTTCTTTTTGCTAAGAGACTTTTTCCACTCACCCTTTGCCTCAGAACGGTGAATTGGATGACTTCACCTTATTCATCAGCAGTAAACCGGCACTAACTTTTGAATATGCAAATTTGGACCAGTCTGTTTTTGTTGATTATTTATGCTTTTTGCCGGAGTGGCTTTTAGCACTGACCAACAGGCATTCAGGTGATACAGTGGCAAAGTGAAAGTCGGGAGTTGAAGGCATTTAATATCCGATTCGAAGAATTGAACGTCATAGACATTGATTTCCTTCATGGATATTCACAACCTACCGTGGCGTTCATTCACCAGGATCAGCAGGGTCGTCACGTGGTTACTTACGAAGTGAATTTGCGCGATAAAGAATTCATAAAGGGTAAGCCTAAAATTTTTGTCGTTGTGAGTCACTGCTGTGTGTGTCACTTAACTGGTACTTCAAGTTGAGCATCTGTTGTTAGACCTGGTTGAATAAAAAGATATTTCATATTCATTTTAGGGAAAAGATTGTTCTGTGATTCTCCTTGAGAGCAGATGATGAACGGTCTGTACCTTAAAAATTATGACGTTGCTATGCTTTAATCCGTTCATACTGACAGTCGTATAGATTGTGGGTTACTTAATGATACAATATCACTCAGTTGCCTTCCCGATAGCTGTTACTCTTTTTTACGGTTGCAGAATTAAACCTATAATACTGAATTGGAGAATTGGCTATGTTTTGGACTGTATTTATTTTTTTGCTCCTGCATATACAGTACCCCTGCATTTGCTGGAATGAAATAAAACCATATCTGTGAGGTTCCAGTACTTGCAAGGTTATGTGGCGCGACTGTT